GATTACACCCAAAGCACGTGCCGTCACGCTGTCGCCAGCCCATAACTGACCGAGCACAGCACTTATTGGCTTCCGAAGGCGGACTTCAGAGTGCTTTCGAGACTTTTCGAAAGACGGCTTCTTGCAATAGCAAGAACCCGCCTGACTGGTGGCACCCAGAGGAAATACTATCCATCCAATCAGGCGGAATCTAGCAGCAACAGCAGCAGTAGCACTTACCAGTCCAGTACTAGGTGGTATTTAAGTTACTTGCATATTAGATTGACCGTTCTTGCTGGTATTTAGCCGCCTGAGCGCACGCCTTGACTAGTAGTGGCCATTAAACAGGTTACCGCTGGCGTACCCGTTAAACAAGCACTCTTATTTCTGTTGTTTTTGTTTTTGGTTTGTTTTTCTTCCCGTAGTGACGTGTCCAACAAAATTAGGCTTTGTTGATTTGTTGGTTGCAATGATGCTTCCGCCAGCAGCGCGTGTCGGGCACAAGCAGGCTGCCGTACCGCTGTCGCTGTCTCTGTCCTCCCGGTTTCCCCTTCTGCCGATCCTCCTGCTTCTCGCCCTTGTTACCGTGCTTCTCGCGCGCTGGCCAGTCCTTCGCGGCCACGTGGCGGGCGATTCGGGGATCGACGCGGTAGATTCGATTATGGTAGGTCGGACCTGGGCTTCTGTCGAGTATGAAATTCAAACCCTGGAAGGGGGGAAACATAGTGTTAGCGGCATTAGCGGGGGTAAGGGGAAAGGAGGTGAGTTAATTGAGGGGATAGAGTGGGCGCGGAAAGATAGCGCCCGATGGGCAGAAGAGGAAGGGGAACCGGCGCGGAATGCGGAAGGTTCCGACAGTCGCGGAAATTCCCGGGAGGCGGATCGAGTGGGGGAGTTGTCGCAAGGGGGGGAGTTGGAGCTGGCGGAAAGAGAGAATGCGGAGGATGGCGGAACTACTGAAAAGGGAGGGAGAGAAGGGGGGGAGTACCAAGGAGGGGACGCGGAGCAGGTGCGCGGGGAAGGGGACGAATCCTTGGGGAAGGAAGGCGATTCGGGGAGGGGCAAAATGGGCGGAGACGAGAGAAACGACGAGGGAGGCGACGCAGAATGGAGAGAGTCTACAGAGACGAGGGAGAAAGGGAAGAAGCAGAGGAAGGAGGGGAAGGAGAGGAAGAGGCGGCAGAGGCGGTGTCGCGAACTTGGTGTCCCCTGCTCCTCGCACTTGTCGAAAAAGGCTCGAGTAAAACAGTCGCTCGAGGCGCTGACCGTCCTGATTAACGGCCGGATTCTTTCGCCGTTAGATTCGCCGGAAATTCAGCAGCTGTTGCAGCCGCGGGGTAGGGTGTTGCTGCCGGGAAGCGGTCATTCGAAGTGGTGGGAGACGCGATGGCTGCCGGTTAGCCGTCAGGATTATTTCGATCCGAACGGCCGGTACCTTTTCGTCACCGGCCACCGGGATTTCTGCGCTGGGATTCGCCACTTTCATCGCAGCCTGTCGTGCAGGATCGCAGAGGCGGCGGCTCTGAATCGCACGCTCGTACTCGATATGGGTTTGTGCATTAATGGACTGCACAACGAGGGGAAATTCCAAGTTAACCCCATCCATGTCTACTACGATCTTGCATCTCTCAGGTAAGCCGCGAATACTTGTGAGGGTTACGAAATCCCCTCTGCGTGATTCGATATAGTAAGCACCTTACAAGCTATTTTTTCGCATTTTATAACGCGCTAACGATTCACCCATCCCGCTTTCCAACCCCCTTCCCAACCCCTCCCTCCTCATCCCCCCGTTTTCCCTCCCCCTTTTTCCCCCCAGCACTGTCCGCTTCACCCCCCTGCAAGGCTTTCTAGAGGAGGCGGAGAAATGGCAGGCGGGATTGGGGACGCGGGATGGGGGGGGAGATTGGGGGAAGGCGGAAGGTGCAGGCGGGGCAGCGGAAGGAGAAGCAGTAGTCAGGAGACTCGCGGAAGCAGATGGGGAAGGGGAGGGCGGGAAGTCAGCGGAAGAAGGTTCGCTGCGGTTTCCTGTGCGGGTGGTGAGCGGGCACGTGAGGACAAGGCGGCTAGTGGGCGATGATGACACGGCGCTGATCGTGCGGACGGTGAAGTACGGCTTTGCCGCGTGCGAGTTCAATCCTTTCCACGCGAAGCCGCGCCACGAGGTGCGTGTGTGTGTGGGGTAGGGGGAGGATTGGCGTGGGGGAATCTGCCATGCAGCACCGGACAGAGCTGCTTGCCTTGCCAGTCCTGTTGCCGCAATCCCTTCCCCATTCACCCCTCTCTCTTTCACCCGTTCACCCGTTTTTTTCCAACAGAAGGACTAGCCCATTCCCAGCAACCACAGCGCCATACACACCGGCCAGAGCTGCCAGCACTGCCATTCCAGTTGACTCCTTTTCATTCCCCCTTCCCCCCCCCCTTTCCCCTCTTCTCCCCTTTCTTCCCCATTCCAACAGAAGGACTATCCCATTTACAGCAACCACATCGCCATTCAGCATCGCCCAGAGCTGCTGGCGCTGTCATTCCAGTTGCCCACTCCCTCCCCGTGCACCCCATTCTCACCGCTCTTCACCCCCTTTCCTTCACCCTCTTCTCCCTTTCTCCCAAACAGAAGGACTACCCCATTCACAGCAACCACAGCGCCATCCAGCATCGGCCAGAGCTGCTGGCGCTGGCAGCAGAGATGGGGAGGGCGATGGGTGGGGGGGACTATGATGCCGTGCATGTGCGGCGAGGAGACAAGCTCAAACCCGATATGTGGCCGCACCTCGACCGCGACACACGACCCCCTGCGTGAGTGTTGCTTGCTGCTGATTCCCCCTCTGTCGCACTATTAAGCTTGGTCTTGAACCACAGCTGAAGTAGTGCAGCAGCGAGGGTAAGTTGGTGGTGTTGCTTTTATTTGTTTTCGTTTCACTGTGCACTGTACTATATTGTTCTTGCTATTTCGTTTTGGGAGGGAGTTGGTGGTCAGATTTCGAGGGGGTGGGTGTGGCCAAGGCACGAGGGAATTGGGAAGAAAAGCCCAATACATGCGGTGCGGAGCTGGATGGCGGTGGGGAAGCTGGATTCCAGCTAGCTCGTAGGTAGCCAGCTAGCACCTTGGAAGTGCGCCGAAGAGGGTTCTTCGCGCACCAGGAGCTAGAGGGCCACTCTAGGAGTAGCGAGGATAGATCTGAAAGGGGTCCAAACATTCTACTCGCTTTTTGCTTGTTTGTTCCTTTCGTACTGCAATTTTGACTTCAATTCGAAGCTAGCAGTGTTAGGAGCTCGAGCAATAGTCTGCGCACAGCACTGGTATTGCAGGGCTTGTTCCAGGCAGGGACGCATGGGCACTGAAGGGAAAGATGAGGAAGAGATGTAACCTGGGACCAGGGATGGGAAGGCAGAGAGCAGAAAAGGGAAGAGGAGATAAGAGGGGGAAAGGGAGGGCAAGGAAGGGCAGCACGAGCGCAAGAGAGGAGCAAAGGGTGAGATTACGACACCTCTGCCCCCACTGCCCCCCACTGCCCCCACTGCCCCCACTGCCCCCCACTGCCCCCACTGCCCCCAGTATTGTTCGTGCCCAGCCCAGTGTGTGTACGGAAGTGCTCTTGTCTCTCAATTCCCCCACCCCTACCTCCCTCCAGGCTCTTGAAGAAGCTTCCCAAGTTCGTCGCACCTGGACGCACTCTGCTCCTTTGCACTCACTTCTTTCTTCCCCCCCCTCCCAACCCCCTCTCCTCTTCCCCCTAATCTTGTTCGCTGGTCCCCCCTCCTCCTCCAGGCTCTTGAAGAAGCTTCCCAAATTCATTGCACCTGGACGCAGTCTGTACATTGCCACCAACGAGAGAACCCCAGGGTTCTTCGACCCACTTCGTACCCTTTACAAGCTGTACCGTTTAGAGGACTTTGAGCACCTCTGGCACCAAGGCACGCCGTGGTTTGATACATATGTGGAGATGCTACGAGAGTCCGAGCCTGTTTTTGACCCATACATGCAGGTTATAGTTGATTATAGAGTGCTCAACTCGGCTCGGAATGTGGTTCGCACTTTCCCGAACCTGACATCCGACCCTGAAGATGGGTATATACGACCTCCGAGCTTGAATGAGCCAACCTTGTTGGATTGGTTCTGGGGGTTGTTCGGGTATAGAAATGAGGGTGGCCGTTAATACAGATACCAGCTGTGTTGTGTATCTCCTTCATTCAATCTAATGGCAGTGCTATAGTAGGCAAGAGTGCGCATTTGCAACCGAGAACAGTCAAGTCAACCTACCATGTGCTGATGGGATACCAGGTGGTTGTTCAATTCACGGCTTCTCTGACTCCCTTTCCTCCCCTCAATGGTACTGTTGCCATTTTCAAACACTTCACCATACTTCTTCCTTGCAAGGAATTGTTACAGTTCCGAGCCGTTGCGTCGCGTACAACTACTGAAACTTCCAGGAGTACGGTACGGGCTCGGCCCATTTCCTTGACAACCGAGGGACTTGCTTGTGCAACCAGTACAAATTACAGTTTAAAGTTCGTTACACGACAGTAATTAGATTGGAGGCAACATCTTCTAGCCCTACATAGCAAATAAGAAGTCCATAACGACAAAATGCTTTTGAGATGTCTCAAAAGCAAGCGAGGTCCTTGCAACAAAACCTAGACTGCACAACAATAAATTCTCCTACTTACTAGCAATGCGCAATTAGCGTGCGCTTCAATCCTCCTACTTACTAGCGATGCGCATTACTAAGCACCCAACAGCAACATGAGGGCGGGCCACCTCTAATGTGGGTTGGGCTGGCCCTGGTGGAGGGGGTAACGCCGCCGCTGCCACTGGTGGCCATGCGAGATACATCAGCAGAGCATGGATGGTGTGATGCAACCATTCAAGGCCGGTTGACGACACCGTGGTTGATCCCCTCCCCAGCATAGCTGCTGGTGGGCTGCGAGAATGCGCTGGCAGAGGGAGTGGCGCCACTGAGGGCCATGCGCAGGCGGAAACTAAGAGCAGGGCGCTCACACCAGCACCGGCACCAGCACACCGTTCAAGGCCGGTTGACGACACCATGGTTGATTCCCCCTCCAGCGTAGCTGCTGGTGGGTTGAGAGAAGCCACTGACAGAGGGAGTGGCGCCACTGACGGCCATGCGCAGGCGGCTGGAGCGCTTGACTGGCGTCAGCACCACTTGCTGCTCTGATCCCTGTGGTTAGAAGGCGGAGGGAAGGGAAGGGCAACGGAGACAAGGATGTGTGGTTTTGGAAAAGCCGAAATCACTTTTGAGAATTCTCAAAAGTGACAAGGATGCGTGGTTTTGGAAAAGCCGAAATCACTTTTGAGAATTCTCAAAAGTGACAAGGATGTGTGGTTTTGGAAAAGGCTCTGGGCAGAGGAGAGGGGGAGTGAGCGCCACTGACGGCCACCATGGCTGTAACTACGACCGACAACTTGTCAGCACGGCTCACCTCTCGCACCACCACGGGCTGACAGTCTGGCACCACTCCACTCACCTCTCACCACCATCAGACTTACCTCTCTCACCACCACGGGCTTGAACGCGTTGTACCGCCCGTACCCTCCTGGCGACCCCGTTGCTCCCTGTACGACCCCCTCCTCCTCCCCATCGCCCCCCACCGCCACCAGCACATCCCCCACCGCCACCATCTGCGCCATCCCCACGGGGCTATGTCCGCCCATGGCTCCGATCATGGCTCCGCCCATGCCTCCGCCCATGCCTCCGCCCATGCCTCCGCCCATGCCTCCGCCCATGCCTCCGCCCATGCCTCCGCCCATGCTTCCGCCCATGCTTCCGCCCATGCTTCCGCCCATCCCTCCACCCGTTCCCCCGGCCTGCCATCCCATTTTCATCTGATCCCACTGCTGCTGCTGCGCCTGCAGCACCTGCTCCCTCTGCTGCTGCTGCTGTCTCCTTCCCATCGGCCCATAGTAGTTGCTCGTGCTCTCACAAACCGAGTCCATGCCTTGATTCCCGAGCCTCAGCCCCGAGACCGCCGAGCCTGCAGGCCTGGCAGCAGCAGAAGCAGCGCCAGCACCAGCATTGCCGGAGCTGAATCCAGGTCCGGCAGTTCTGCCGAGCCTAGCTCCCTCGCTAAGCGTCCAGCCAGCGTCTACCACTCCTGCTCCGCTCACTGCTGGCGCCTGCCATTGCTGGTGCTGGTGCTGGTGCTGGTGCTGGTGCTGGTGCTGCTGCTGCTGCTGCTGCAGGGGATGCATAAAGCTACCACCACCACCACCACCACCACCACCACCACCACCACCGCTTGCAGCAGCAGCACCACCACTAGCACCAGCGCCAGCAGCAGCACCCCAGGACTGGCCACTGAAGCTCTGCCTACGCTCGCCTGCAGAAGCAGACGGCGCCGCCGCTTGCAGCTGTGACCCAGCAAGAGAACCAGTGAGAGACCCAGCACGGGCAGAAAGGCCGTGAGAGGCAGCAGCAGGGTGGGAAGCTAGCAGGTGAGACGCAGCTGGGACCGAGTCTGCTGCACCTGCTGCTGCTGCTGCTGCTGCTGAGGCTCCGGGAGCGCGGAAGAAAGCAGAGGTGGTAACCACGGCAGCAGCAGCAACAGCTGCCACCACCACAACAGCACCAGCCGCTACCAGCATCTGTTGCTGCTGCTGCGCTGCCAGCCGTTGCTGCTCCGCCTCCTCTTGCGCCCATGCCATCTCCTCCGCTTCTGGCAGGGACTTGCCCTGCTCTGTCTCACCGGCTGTAGCAGCGGCGGCTGTAGCAGCGGCGCCTGTAGCAGCGACGTCGGTAACAGTGGCGACTGTAGCATCATCTGTAGCCTCGGATTTAAGCTGCTGCTCCCCCTGCTCTGCCTCCCACACCATCTCCTCCTCCGCCCCTGAAAGAACCCTTGCCTCCCCCACCTCATCAGCTGTAGCAGTGGCGGCTGTAGCTGCAGCAAGGTCGGCTGTAGCGCTAGGTTCCACTGGCGCTACAGCCTCTTGCTCAGCAGTGGTGGCAGTTGTGGCAGTGGCAGTGACAGCTGCGTCGGCAGGGCAGACAGCTGCTGACGTAGAAGAGCAGTCACGCGCTGCTAGCTCTGCGATATCAGCCGCACCCTCTTCAGAAGAAGCGTCAGCAGCTTCCACGTCAGCAGCTTCCACGTCAGCAGCTTCCACGTCAGCAGCTTCCACGTCAGCAGCTGCCACGTCAGCAGCATCACAAACCTCCACTGCACCGCTCCCATTAGAAGTCAAAGAGATCTCCTCGCCGCCTTCCTTCCCATCCACACCGACCGCACCGGCTGCAGCAGCCACAGCACCTTCTTGCTCCGTAGCACTCGCATCCCATCGCTGCTGCGTAACCAGCTCGGCTGCGCTCGTTACAGCCTGCTTCTCCGCAACCACGCCTGCCTCTTCTCCCGCGGAAACCTCAACCACTTCCGCCTGCTGCTGCTGCTGCTGCTGCTGCTGCTGCTGCTGCTGCTCCAGCACAACAAACTCTGAGCTCGTTCCCAAGGAAGCTAGGGAGACAAAACCTGCCTCTTCTTCCACGTCAGAACCTGAACTGCCAAGGCCATCACTTGAAATACTTTCTGGATTCAGATCTGCCTCTTCCTCCTTTTCTCCGCCTCGCTTCCCGCCAGCCAATGCCGCCCAGCTCATCTGGTCAAACGCTCCCATTGACTGATGCCCGTTCGCTTCCCACAGCACCGAGGTTCGACCCGCAACGGCCTTCCAGCCGTTTCCAAGCCTAGTTCCGAGCCTAGAACCTGAACCCCCTTCACCATTGCCGAACCAAGCTCCAGGTACGGCAGAGAGGTACGTCTTCCAGGCCTGCTCGGCAGGTTCGAGGAAGGAGAGTGCGGGGGAGAAGGCGGAGAGGGGGCGGTGGGCAGAAAGGAAGAGGGCGGCGGAGAGCACAACCGCGCAGAGCGCACGGAGGACTCCGCCCGCGCGGGACCAGCTGCTTCCGTGGGTGCTGCCGCTGCGCCCGCCGCTACTGCTGTCGCCGCTGCGGGCCTCGTGGCGACTGTGGTGGTGGCGCTGCTTCTGCTGCTGCTGGTGCTGCTGGTCGCGGTCGTGGTGGTGGTGGTGGCGATGGCGCGACCGGTGCCTCACCGCGTCCCCTCCGTCAGCGTCAACAACCTTCGCCACATCAGCCTCCTCCTCCTTCTCCTTCTCCTTCTCATCGAGCGTTGTTTCCGCCCCAGCCTCGTTCACCTTCTCATTCTCCTCCTTCTTCGCAGTATCAGTCTCCTTATCTTCGCCCTTGTTCCCTTCTTCCTCCGTCTCCTCCTTTTCCTCCTTTTCCGCAATCTTTCCTTCCTTCGCCGCCTCGCTTTCCCCGCTCCCCAGCTGTGCAGTCTTCGCATGTGCCATATTCCCTCCCCCTCCCTTCTCCGCGCCCTCCGCCTTCCCCCGATCTTCCCCCACTTCCGCATGCTCAGCCTTCTTATCCCTCTCGTCTCTCGTTGCCCCTTCTGCGTCCGCCTTCGCCGCAGCATACGCAGCCACAGCCACTGCCGCCGGCGCCGCCGCCACCGCAGCTGCAGCAGTCGCCGCCACGTCCGCACTCCACGCCGTCAGATCCGCCGCATGCTTGCCGTTAACCGCCGCATTCCCGCCGGAGCCGGGCGCGACGTCGCGGCGCGCTGCCGACTCGGGGGAGCGCGGCGCGCCGGCGAGGACTTCGAAGAGCGGATTAAGCGCGGCGGAGTTAAGGGCGCCCTCGATTCGCGAGGAGTTAAGACTGAGGCTGCGCTTCGCCTTCGCTAGAGTCATCTGCGACGGCGACGACCGCTCTACGCGACCGCTGTGGCGACGCGGCGGCTGCCCGTGCGACGGGTCGTGCGACTGCGGCTGCGACTGCGACGATGGTTGCTGCGCGGACGGGCTGTCCACGACAAAATAGTTGAACTGCCCGGGACTGCACGTCCCGCTGCCTACGCCGCCACTGCCGCCGCCGCCGCCGCCACCAGGCGTGCCGGCGCCATTGTTCATGAAGAGGCTCCCCGGGCTCGCCGCACCGCCGCCGCCGCCGCCGCCACTCGCGGCGGACCCGGCGATGGCGGCGCTGGAAACTCCGTTGGAAACGCCGCACGAAGTGCTCTTCCCCAGAGAGCGTCTGCGGGCCGGAGAGGCGGCTCGGCGGGCCGGCAGAGACGGCGTCGGGGTTGTAGCAGGCGTGGAGACGGCAGGAGAGGGTGTAGTGAAGGGTGAGAGGGAGTGAGGAGAGGAGAGAGAGGATAAGTGCGTCGTAGGTTGCTCGTTCTCTTTCGAAGAGGATAGGGTTGGAACGGCGAGGGGAGCAGGAAGTGGAGAAGGGTTGTGAGCGGAATTCACGCCGGGAATCGCGGCGGTAGTTGCGGAGTTGTTAGAAGCGAAGGGGACAGACTGCTGAGGGCTGGAAAAGACGGAGGATTTTGACGGCCCGTCTTTCAACTGTCCGTCTTTCAGTTGTCCGTCTTTCAGCGAGCCGGGGCTTCTGCGAGCCTTCTTCCCCTTGTGAGAGTTCTCAAGGCCAGTCATGGTGAAAAATTACTTCCGTCAATATAGGAATTCTAGAAAGACGTAATTTCTACGCTTTAGCGAGATGGCAAGGAGTCGTCACCAAGATGACGTGACGAGTTGGGATGACAATTCACAGATGCCCGCCGTCACAGTTTGCAGAAGCTACTCGAAAGAAACAGAAAGAGCTTCGATCTAGGCGGACTAAAATGAAGAAACAGGACAACCAAGTCGCGTTCGTTTTATAAATACCAACGACGGTTTGTCTGGCACTCGTTGGTCCTTACTACGCAAAGCACGCTCAGAAGAGATTGAGAGCAGCAATAAGAGCAAGGAACAGAAATGGCTGCTCGTGTCGCCAGTGTGTGTTGCTGAAGCTGAGAATGTAAAATCAATTCCGTTCCTGCCCCCGAAGTCATTTCCACCTACCGTTTTACTTGGCGTTTTGAAAGCGGTTTCTGGAGATCAAGAATGGTCGGGTAGGTTTTCAAACGAAACTGAACTCTCCTCAACGTTTGCTGCTGTTGGATTCTGCTGGTGCCGCGATTGCGCGGGAAATATGGCTGGCTGGTTTGGCTGTTCCGAGCGATTCGGGAAATTTGAAAATTTCGCGCCCTAGTTGTGTGCTCTGGATGTCGTTTGGGCTGATTGAATTCCATGGGTCTTGGAGCTGACACGTCAGACGACTAAATGAGTGTGTCACGCCGGAATCATAGCAGCAGGATCTGGAACAGAAACCGCGAAAACCTAGTAACGAGATTGCTACATACTGCTTAGCTGAGCGTCCTGCTTATGCTTAAGCATACTTAATGTTTTGTGATGAGTCTAGCGTGACGGGCCAGGCGATGAGCCAACTAAATCCGTCCATCCACAAACTAGTGAAAATAGCTTATGGTACGACGGTTGAATCATCCACAAAGTCAACACGATATTAGTATCCTCCTTCAGCTTTTATACAAACTGCGATAAATTATGCGAGAATCCATGGGGGGAGGCAGTTACACTGAATATCGTAACAAACTGGATATCGACTGGCTCATGGCTTGTAGATATCGATTGGCTCATGGCTTTTTGATCCCGAGCCAACCTAGGCCTTTCCGCGAGGAGCCCTGAGGAGGGGAAGAAAGGGAGGGGAGGAGATGATTGAAGCGAAAGAGGGAAGGGATAAACTGATCAGGCTAAATATATAACAAGGCAAAAGGACTCTATTCACCCTCCGCTTCTCTCTTGGTTCTCCCTCCTTTCGTCCTTGTTTCGTTCAACCAACCAACCCCTCATGCCCCTCTCAACGAGCTTCACCTGCACTGTCTACTCAGCCTCCCACGCACCCTCACCTCCACACTCCCCATCCCCGTCCACCCTACCCAATCACCTCCACTCCCCCCCACCCACCTTCTCATGCACGTTGGCCTTGAACTGCCGAATGCAGAGCGTTGCCAAGTCCCTCGTTCTAAGAGGCAAGGGGTGAGTTAATAACAGGATAAGAAGATAGAGGAGAGGGGGAAACGGGAGGAGGAAAGAGGGGGAGAAGGGAGAGGGTGAGGGAAAGCGGAGGAATGGGGAGAGGTGAAGTGGGGAAGAGGGGAAGAGAGGACAGCACGATGGCGCAACATCACAGCCACGGGGCACGGAAGAGGCAAATAGAGGACAGAGCATGGAAGGAGCATGGAAGGAGCATGGAAGGAGCATGGCATAGACATGCAATGCTCAGGCATGCAATGCTCAGGCATGTGGTAATCTTGAAATCACAAACAAGCTGACCTGGCATCTCAGCAGGTTAAGACCTGACCTGGCGACCCTGAAATCAAGGAAAAGCTGACCTGGCGTCCCTGAAACCAAGAAAGGGCTGACCTGGCATCCTGAAATCAAGGAAGAGCTGACCTGGCATCCCTGAAATCAAGGAAGAGCTGACCTGGCATCCCTGAAATCAAGGAAGAGCTGCCGGCCATCGGCGAGGATGAAAAAGAGAGACATGCGATGCATCACACTGATCTCCACCTGAGGGCAGTGAAGAGGGGGGGAGGGGTGGGGGTGGGGGGGAGGAGCAGGGAGGGGAAGGTCAGCATGCGACATGCGATGCATCACACTGACCTCCACCTGGAGGGATGAGGGGAAAGAGGAGAGAAAGGAAGAGGGGGGAGAAAGGGAGAGGGGGGTGGGGGGGGGGGGAAAAGGGAAGTGGGGAGAGGGGAGGGGGGGGTGGAGAAGCGTGAGTAGCATGTTAGTGAAAAGTGATGAGTGAGAGCATGGAACGAGGATGGGAAGAGAGAGAAGTAAAAAGTAGATTTTTGAGACGTCTCAAAAATCTACTTTTTACAAGTGATAAGAAGTGATGGGAAGTGATGAGAAGTGATGAGAAGTGATGAGAGCATAGAAAGAGGATGGGAAGAGAGAGAGACATGCGAAGCATCACACTGATCTCGACCTGAGGGCAGGGAGAAGAGGGAGAAGACAGGCAGAGGGAGAGGGGGGGGGGGAAAGAGAGAGGGGAGGGGGGGAGAGAGGGGGGAGGGGGGGGAGGAGGGGGGAGAGGGGGGAGGAGGGAGGGCAGCATTGCAAGTCTGAGATGCGGGAGAAGCGTGCGGCGATGAGAGGATTCAATGAGGACCAAGAAGATCAACACAGTGCATGCGGTTGCGATGGGTTGCACTGAGCTTGACCCACTTTTCCCTGATGGATGAATGGCTTCTTGGCCTTGCACAGCACAAAAGTCCTTCCGCCTGCTACTACATCTACACAGCAGCAGGTTGCAACCCCAACCCATTGCTACTATAGTGCAACACGTGCTCACCGCAGTGAGGTTGCCCCAGGGCTCCTTGATGAACGCCTTCTTGGCCTCTCGCAGGACCAAGTTTGGCCGCCTCACTTGCAGGGTCATACTGCCTCACACAAGCCAAAGAACACTGAACCACATCCAACCCAAGCACTACGAGTGCTCACCGCAGTGAGGTTCCCCCATGGCTCCTTGATAAACGCTTTCTTGGCCTTGCGCAGGACGAAGTCCGGCCTCCTCACTTGCAGCGTCACTGCCTGCGGTGTCTGCTGCTGCTCCTGTGGCTCCTCCCCCTCACTGATCTCCTGCAAATGGGGGGAGAGATGAGAGGTGCGAGGGGAGAGAGTAGAGAGGAAGAAGAGAGGAGAGAGGAGATAAGTGAGAGGAGACGAGAGAGGGAATCAATCTAGCTGAACATTTTGGTTCTGCCTGAAGATTGATCACAACCCAGGCCCGGTGGGATACAGTGCGGTGTGGTGTGGTGTGGTGTGGTGTGGCAGGGATTGTATCAGTGTCATGCAGTGCAATTAGGTGCACGTGCTGTGCAGTGCAGAGGATACGAGTGCAGGCAGTGCAGACGGGTGCGGTGAAGTGAGTGCGGCACGTGGCAGGTCGACATACCACGAGGGTGGCTTCAAACTGGGTGGACCCCTCTGCCAGCCATCCTGCTAGTGTGTCCTGCACCGTGGGCTCTGTGATGTGATGTGATGTGATGTGATGTGATGTGATGTGATGTGATGTGATGTGATGTGATGTGATGTGATGCCATGGGGTAGATGTGATGGGGGAGAGGGAAGAGGCAAGAGACTCAATGTGACCCCCACTGCTCTTCTCTCCTCCCCTGCCAGCCATTCTGCACCGTCTTGCGCGTCTTGCACCGCCGGAACTGCGTGATGGCATGGGGGTGAGGGGGGTGAAGGGGTTGAATCCGTTTTTTGAGAATTCTCACAAAAAAGATATGGCTTGGGGGTGAGGGGGGTGAAGGGGTTGATGGGCAAACAAGAGATGCGAGGCATGTGCAAGGCAAGACCATGAGTAAAATAAACCAAAATGATCCAACCAAAGTTTAGAGACGTACGAATTTACATGTGCCTATCTCTTCCCAAGGCCTTAAGGTGCAAGTTGTGATCTTTACTCAATTGAGCTTTTACATATTAGTACTTCCACCGGGTTCTTCGTGCTACTAGAGTGCTGGTTGCATGTAACAGGCTGCATTGTAATTGTATTCTCATAAGGTGCTACTGCAAGAGACGCTGCGACTGCTTTATCTTGTTGAGGGACTTCTTCAGTTGGCAGACCCTGGGGTCTCCTTCTCCGTAGGTGTGTGGTTGTTCCACGAAGATGGTTGCATCCACCAGCACGTATAAAAACGCGTTCATGACGTCGATCTGCTGCAGTGGTAGATGCTTTGCGGCTGCGATGGCGAGTAGGATCCTGACAGAGGTATGGCGGCTGACGGGGGCGAAGGTTTGGTCGAAATCGATGTCGTGGCGCTGGTCGTAGCCGCGTACAACCCAACCTGCTTTGAAGCGCTCAATAGTTTCGTCAGCGACAGTTTTGAGACGGAATACCCATTTTCCGCTTAGCACCCTCCTCCCCTTCACTACTGCACAATCGACTAGGACCCACGTGTCACGTGACTCTAGTGCTAGCTGCTCCCCATTCTGTAGCATATGGTCCCGTGAGTGCCTGTCGCGGGTTCTTAGGTTCGATGATTCGTGGGGTGGAAGTAACGGTCGTGTGCAGGCCGAGGAGCTGGAGACCGGTGACGTTGCCTGCGGCTTTTTGAGTGGTGACTTCCACGACATCGTCATCGTCGCTCTCGTGAGTAGACGAGGGGCTGCTTGGGGGTCGGTGCCCCGAGATGGTCCGAGTCCAGGGGTGTCATCACTGTCATCGTCGTTGTCATCGCGCGGGTGAGGAGATACGCCGGGATGTTCGTGGACGGGATCGCGATCCAGCTTTGCTGCAACTGCTTCGTCTTCCGAGGAAGCAAAGCTGCGTCCGCTGTTGGCGTAGGCTCGTGCGTCGTTGCGGCGCCGGTCCTCAGTCCACTGCCCCAAGGTGAGTCGCTCGTAGAGGAGGATTTCACGCACAAGTACGACTTTGTTGGTGTGTATGTCTAGAACTAGCCACCCCTTGTATTCGTAGCTAAGCCCTTGATGAACTCCCCAGAGCGCACGTTAAATGAACTTGCCGATGGTAGTAAATGTCGGCCGATACTGCATCATGCATCCTCAGACTCGCAACATGGAGGTGTCTCCCCTTGACCTCCACTTCATGTGCGGGGAAAGGTTGTCCCTGTTGGTAGTGGTGGAGAGGAGGTTGTGCAAGCGCACGGCGTGGTTCATGGAGTACGGTCAGTACGTCTTGCGTAGTCCGGACTGGTTCATGATGGCGCGGACCTTGGTCATGAGGGTGCGATTGACCCTTTCCGCGACGCCTTACTGTTGGTGGGCGTAGGGGAGCGAAATTTGGTGTTTGATCCCCTTTTCCGCGAGGAGTCTCTCCAGTTCGCCGCTGCGGAATTCCTTGGCGCCATCTGTCTGTCAGATTTTCAGCTTCCTCCCTAATTCCCGTTGTGCGTGAGCAAGCCAGATGCGGAAGATTTCAAGTGCCTTGGAGCGGACGTCCACGTTTGCAATCCAGACATAGCGTGAGTACGCGTCCACGAAGGTGAGTGTGTGGTTTTCGCCGCTGATTTTTTCGGAGGTAAGTATGATGTAGTCGCTGTAGACTTTGTGCAACTTCTTGTAGCGGTTGGTGCTCGGCTCCAGTGAGGGATAAGCTTGGTGCGTGAGAGCAGCAGTGGGGCAGACGGTGCAGGTGGTTGGATGTGTTGTGCTGAGAGGTTCTGTGCCGTCAGGGTGCAGCAGTGCCCCTGGTAGGAAGACTTTGGCGCGGAGACAGTTATGGAATGACTGGCGCGAGGGATGATCGAGTCGCTGGTACCAGAGGTCATCGTCTGCGCGGATTCCCGAGGTGCGTAGGTATCGGCAGTGCGTGATGTTCCGCCGTCTCAACTTTTGTCTCGTGGGGGATGAGGAGCACTGGTCCTTCTTCCTCACCGGGCTCTGCTTCGTTGTCCTGCTCCTCCCCTTCTGGTTCTGCTCCTGTCTCCCCTTCTACAGGTGCTGTCGTGAGGTAGAGTGCGAGGAAAGTTGCGATCGGGGATGATGTTGAGCGGAGTCCTAATACCTTCGATGAGGCGGGCGAACGGATCTGGGCGGGAGATTGGCCCAAGCGAGTTGTGCTCTTACCGAGTTGGATCAAGTTGCCCTCATTGACCACCACTCGAGACAACTCCCCCTGCGTTCACGCCAGGGGGATGAGAGACAAGGCAGGAGAGGAGTGAGAGGCAGGAGAGGCGCAACAGGGGGCCGACGAACTGACAAACACACGCATACACATGCCATGGATTGACATGATAAGGCAGCATGATGCAACACTATCAACCGTTCCCCTACCCCCCTTCCATCACACTCACCCGACTGCCTGCCTCGTCCAATTTCACACACTCCACTGAGATGATGGCGTTGCAGTCATATTGGTGCTGGCATCATTCATTACTAGCATTTCACCCCCTGGACTCACCTCTTGCTACTGTAGCACTCATCTTCAAACGCTTTATTGCACTCACCCGACTACCTACCTCATCTAGCCGCATGCCTCACTCCACCGCAATGATGGCATTGCACTCATCAGCTGCCACCACTGGTCCACTGGCCCACTGCCAGTATTCGGTGTGTACTGTACACTCTCAAACCCGGCCAACCCCCCCGCTTTTCCCCACTCTTCCCCCTTCCCCCATCTCCCAGCACTACCACCAACCCACCCCCAAAGCGCACGCACTCACCCGCCTGCCTGCCTTGTCCAGCAGTACACACTCCACTGCGATGATGACATTCGTGCAGGCATTCCCTCACCCTCTCTCTCTCCCCACACTCCAAGTGCATGAACTCACCCTTCTGCCTGCCTCGTCCAGCGGTACACACTCCACTGCGATGATGGCGTTGCAGTCGTCAGCTGACACCGCATACTCGGGCGACGATGCTCCTGAGGAAGGGGTGAACCGGACAGGCAGGAGAGGTGAGGGAAGCGTAAGCAAGTGAGAGCGTGCGTGGGAGAGATAGAGAGGAGAGCGATGATGGCGTTGCAGTCGTCAGCTGACACCGTATACTCGGGTGATGGCGCCCCTGGGGAGGGGGAAAGGGAGAGGTATGGGGAAGGGGAACGGGAAGAAATGGGTAAGTGGAAAGAGGGCAGCGATGATGGCATTGCAGTCGTCAGTTGTCAACAGAGCCATCTTGCTTGCTTGATATCGCCCTTCCAAGCATGTGGATATGGCAAGGAACATTCATGTACGTGTGGAGAGAGAGTGAGGGCTGGATGGTGCGAGTCTTACCTTCAATGAACTCGGCTGTGCCATCTTGGTATTGCCGCACCCACTGCCAAGAACAGACAGACGTAAGAGAAGGGGCAGGGCAGAGCAGAGAGATAAGGCCAGAGCACCGGATAGAAAAAGGCACGGAGAAAAGGCAGCAGCGCTCGAAAAAAGAAAAAAGGAGAGAGAAAAAAAAGGCCAGAGCAGAGCAGACCACACGGGAGGCGCCACAGAAAGGTGGTTTGCAAACTGTTGCTTCTGAGATTGTTAAAGACGTTCTCAAAGACAGCTTGTTGGGACAGAGAGTCAAGCCTCATGGTCAGGACCCAGGCAGGCGACTTCCGAGGGCCTGAAAGGTCACCCTATAGAATTCCCGTGAGGCATGAGGTAAGGAAGTCTGTGGTCTGAGCCCTCAGAGCTCCTCTGCCTCATGGTCACTGGTCAGGACTCGGGCAGACGACTTCTGAGGGGCTCAAACCTAGCCCCATGAACACAACTCAGGACTCACGCCGGCGGCGGAAGTCTAGTCTAACCACACCAGGCGGGGGAAGTGGTTAGACTGTCGGAAGTTACCTGGAAGACGCAGAGCTTGGTGCCATTGACTGAATGGTCGCATGCAGTAAGCTTTTTCCCCATCGCCGCGTCCCCTATCACCCTCAGCCTCAACCCCTCCATCTCCGGCAACAAGTCTATCATCAAGCTGACCCAACAATTACCTGGAAGACACACAGCTTGGTGCTGTTGACGGAGTGGCCGCACGCAGTGAGCTTGTTCCCCATCGCTGCGTCCCCTATCACCCTCAGCCACCCACCCTTAGCCACTCACGCTCAGCGACTCACCCTTACACCTTCAACCACAGCCCCTCACCCTCAGCCCCTCCTATCCCCCACAAGCAACTCTATCTTTGAGCCGTCTCAACAGCAATTACCTGGAAGACGCAGAGTTTGGTGCCGTTGACTGAGTGACCGCATGCAGTGAGCTTGTTCCCCATCGCAGCATCCCCTATCACCCTCAGTCCCTCTATCCCCGGCAGCAGCTCCTCCCCCTCCTCCTCCCCCTGCCCCTCCTCCCCCTCCCTCGCCTGCCCCTCCCCTGCTGCCTCCTGCTGTCCTGCGCCCTCCCCTCCCATCTCCTGCTGCTGATACTCCTGCTGCTGATACTCCTGCTGCTGATAATCCTGTTGCTGGTACTCCTGTCCCTGGTATTCCTGCTGCTGCTGCTGCTGCTGCTGCTGCTGCTGCTGCTGCTGATACTGCTGCTGCTGCTGCTGCTGCTGCTGCTGCTGAGAATCCTGCTGCTGCTGTTGCTGCTGGTAGTCATCCTGTGCATACTGCTGCACCACCTGCTGCTGTTGCCCGTCCATATGAAAGCTCTGGTGCTGCTGCTGAGAGGAGTCCGTGCCAGGGATGTACTGGGAAGAATCAATGGTGCTAGTGGGGTCTGCACCACCATCAGCAGCCTCGTTCATACCTTGCCCTGCGAATTCCTGCTGTGGTTGATACTCCTGCTGCTGGTACCCCTGCTGTTGCTGATACTCCTGCTGCTGCTGTTGCTGCTGCTGCTGAGATGCCAAGCCTTGCCCTGCAACCAGAAAGTTGGAAAACGTTGGAGAGGATTGGAAATGCTTGGAAATTTGTTGGAGAAGATTGGAAATGATTACATGAAATCAAATCTTGGAACGAGTAATGGTGTTGAAGGGAAGGAAGGGAGCGAGGGAGCATGCCAACACTTGGGCCGGCAAAGGGGGCAGAGTTCAAGTGAATCACAAGTGAATGTTGGAATGGATAACGAACAAACTCTCACTCACCCTCTCATCCTCATGCCTCCAACACTCATCCTCTCATCCCTATGCCCCCATCAACATGCACTCGCCCTCACCCTCATACCCTTATTACCTCCTCCAACTCTCACCATCATCCTCACGAATCGGAGCCAAACCACCACCCCAGCTAGCAGCAGGGTCACCTGCATGCTGGGTTGATCAGTCTTTTACTTACGACTCATCCTCAAGCCCATGCCTCCAACACTCACTCAACCCTCTCATACCCCATGCAACCTTCTCATACCCATACCTCCTCCAACACTCACCGTCATCGTCGCGAATCGGAGCCAATCCGCCACCCCAGCTAGCAGCAGGTTCACCCGCGCCTCCCATGCTCGCCAAAGGCCCACCCATACTCCCCCCGGGTCCCCCTATGCTTCCCGCAACCCCGTCGCCCCCCACATACCCCATCGCCTGCCCTTGACCCATGCTCACACTTCCCATTCCCTCCATCCCCCCTTGCTGCTGCTGCGGCTGCATTCCTGCTCCGGTTCCCATAGGAGCTCCCATGGGAGCAGAATCAAGAGCAAAAACGCCACCAGAAGCACTGGGGTTGGTGGATGGGATGGACCCGGGAGGGATGGGAGAACCAGAAGCAGACGGAGCAGCAGGAGGAACAGGAGCGGCAGAGGAAGCAGCAGCAGGGATGAAACCACCTTTGAGAGACATTTCAGGCTCTAAGGGGCTGTACCCACCCGCCTGCTGCTGCTGCTGATGCTGCTGATATTGTTGCTGTGGCGGTTGCTGCTGTTGCTGCTGGTACTGCTGCTGCTGCAGCGGTTGCTGCTGGTACTGCTGCTGCGGCTGGTACTGCTGCTGTGGTGTCTGCTGCTGCTGCTGCTGCTGCTGACCCACGTATTGTTGCTGCTGGTTCTGCTGCAGTTGCTGTGGGGGTTGCTGCTGCCATTGCAGTTGTGATGGCACTTGCTGATGCTGCTGCTGCTGCTGCTGCTGCTGCTGCTGCTGCTGCTGCCAATTCTGTTGCTGTGGTGCCTGCAGCATTTGCTGCTGAACAGGCGGCTGCAGCAGCTGCTGTTGCATTGGTTGCTGCAATTGCTGCTGCTGCTGTTGCTGCTGCAAGAGTTGCTGCAGCAGCTGCTGCTGCACCGGCTGCTGCAACGACTGCTGCTGCTGTTGCTGCAAAAGCTGCTGCAGCAGCAGCTGCTGCTGCTGTTGAGGCACAGAGCCCAGCAAAAGCTGCTGCGGAAGCTGCAAAGTAGGATAGGCTGTGGGAGAGGCGTAGATGGGGGGGAGAGCTGTGGCCGGGTGCAGAGCAGAGTGTAAAGGATGTATGCCTCCTGCTGCTGCCGTGCCTGAGAGGTAGGCAGGGTCGTATGGTAGGCCTGCTTGCGCAAGAGCAAGACTGGGGAAACATGGGCACAACAAGGGAGCAAGACGAGGTTTTTGAGCCGACTAGATAAACTGCTCAAAGATAGGCAGGATCACAAACCTGCTTGCGCTAGAGAAAGATTGGGGAGACGTGGCCTTAGGGGACCACAGGGCGGAGGGAAAAAAACAGTGAGGAGAGTGAGGAGAGGAGAGAAAAGCGTGGAGAGAAGAGTGCTGGAGGGGGATAGGAGAGGGAGCAAGTCAATGTCTGCTGAAGAGATAAGAAGGCAACAATGGAGTCATATTTGAGAATTCTCAGAATTGATTGTTGGAGTGGAAGGAGAGGGGAAACGGAGGATCAGCAGTAGCAGATGCAGGTGCTGCAGCAGCAGGGGACAAGCCCAGCCAAGGCTCGGAGAGGCGAGGCAGCAGCAGAGAGCGCGGCGGCAGAAGCAGTGAGGGGACCAGCGTAAGCATGAAGAGCCGAGAGCACTCACTGCAGCAGCAGAGGATCAGCAGCAGCAGGTGCAGATGCAGGTGCAGATGCAGGTGCAGATGCAGGTGCAGATGCAGGAGGCACCAGCCCAGCCAAGGCTCGGAGAGGCGAGGCAGCAGCAGAGAGAGCAGCAGCGGAAGAGAGGGAGTTGGCGGAGAGGGAGGTGCTGCTGGGGTTGGCGCCACTGGCGAGCAGCAGAGCAGAGAGGGTGGGGTCTGTGGTGCCGTAGAGCGTGGGGAGAGGGGGTGATGGCCCGCCCTGCTGGAAAAAAACAGGGGAGACAAAGGGGCAATGTGTGGGGGCAGGGCAGAGCAGAGAGGGTGGGGTGTCCGTGGTGCCGTAGAGCGTGGGGAGAGGGGGTGATGGCCCGCCCTGCTGCAAGGAGAGGAAAGGATGGGATGGGAAAAGGTGAGGAGAAACAAGGGCAACACAGAGCAGCGAGGGTGGGGTCTGTGGTGTCGTGGAGAATGGAGCGTGGGGAGATGGGCTGACGGCCCGCCCTGCTGGAAAACAAAAGGGGAGACAAAGGGGCGATATGTGGGGGCGGGGCAGAGCAGAGAGCGTGGGGTCTGTGGTGCTGTAGATTGTGGGGAGAGGGGCTGACAGCCCGCCCTGCTGCAAGGGGAGGAGAGTGAGGGAAAATGGGAGGGGGAAACAGTGAGGAAGAGTGAGGAGAAACAGTAAGGAAGAGTGAGGAGAAACAGTGAGGGAGAGTGACGAAAGAGTGTGAGGGAGAGGGAGGAGAGAGTGAGGGAGAGTGACGAAAGAGTGTGAGGGAGAGTGAGGAGAAAAAAAGGCAACACGGAGCAGAGAGGGGTGGTTAGCGGGTCGTGCCGAAAAGGACAGGCAGAGAAGCAAGGGCAACGCGGTTGTGTGGGAGCAAAGGCGAGAGGGTGGGATTGTTCCCGGACTGCAGTGCAACCGAACCGAACCGGACCGGACTGAACTGGACTGAACAGCACCGAACCAAATCGAACAGAGCAGAGCTTGGGGTATGTGCAGCGAAGGGGGGAAGGGAGGAAGGGTACCTCGTTGCTGCGAGTGGTTCGGGTAAGTAGCTGCTGCAGCACAGACTGGAATGGAACAGAGGAAGCACAATGCGAAGGGAGTGCAACAGAGCAGACAAGGACAGGGGAAGAGGGAGGGAGAAAGGGGAGGGGAGAAAGGCAGAGTGGGTGATAAAATGACTGAGTGAGTGAGTGAGTAGTGAGTTGTGATCCAGCATGTGGTGCGAGTCAGAAGAGGTGGAGGTGGAAAGGCCAAACTCCCCTGCTAGCGGCGCGATATGAGATGATGCAGCATGACGCGCCTTGACTTGTGTGACACGCTTTGACTTGTGGCACTCGCCAGGCCACCTACTTTGGCTTAAAGCCCAACTTGCCTTAAAGCCCAGCTTGACTCAAAGCCCAGCTTGACTCAAAGCCCAGCTTGCCTTCAGCTTGCCTTAAAGCCCGCGGCCCAAATTGCGGACCGCGCGGGTCAAGTTTTTAAAACTTGACGAAGTAGTGTTTGCAAGCTTTGAAAAGAAGCGCGCTTGCAATTTGGGACTTATGGGGACAGAACCAACCCCCAGGGCGAAATACCAGGGCAGGCTGGGTTTGGCGAAAAAATCGAGGAAACACGAAATCGGAAGCACTCGCCAAAACCCAGACCCAGACCAGAAAAACCCCCTCGCGTCATCCTTTCAACACTTGTGCAATTTGGGCCAATGGCTTTAAAGCCCACCTTGCCTTAAAGCCCACCTTGACGGAGAGCAGCATGTGGTGTGAGTCGGCAGAGGCGGTGGCAGAGAGGCCAAACTCCCCTGCTAGCGGCGTGAGCGTGGATATGAAGAGCATGCGGTCATGCTCCGCTCGCTGGGAGGGGGAGAGGGAGAGGGGGAGGGGATGGAGAGGGGGGAGGGGGGGGGGAGGAGGAGGGGATGGACGGAGAGGGAGCATGGGTCACACAGAAGCAGAGTGTGAGTGTGGTTATGAATAGCATGCGATCGTGCTCCGCTCGCTGGGAGGGGAGGGGGAGAGGGGGTGTAGAGAGGATGATGGAGACGTGCGGGGCAGGAGGGGATGCACATGAGGCATGGGGAAGGAAGCATGGAGTGAGCGTGGTGATGATGCATAGCATGCGGTTGTGCTCCGCTTTTTGAGGCGCCTCAAAAGAGGGGATGCACATGAGGCATGGAGAAGCATGGAGTGAGCGTGGTGATGACGCATAACATGCGGTTGTGCTCCGCTTTTTGAGGCGCCTCAAAAGAGGGGATGCACATGAGGCATGGGGAAGGAAGCATGGAGTGAGCGTGGTGATGATGCATAACATGCGGTTGTGCTCCGCTTTTTGAGGCGCCTCAAAAGAGGGGATGCACATGAGGCATGGGGAAGGAAGCATGGAGTGAGCGTGGTTGCGGTTGTGCTCCGCTTTTTGAGGCGCCTCAAAAGAGGGGATGCACATGAGGCATGGGGAAGGAAGCATGGAGTGAGCGTGGTTGCGGTTGTGCTCCGCTTTTTGAGGCGCCTCAAAAGAGGGGATGCACATGAGGCATGGAGAAGCATGGAGTGAGCGTGGTGATGATGCATAACATGCGGTTGTGCTCCGCTTTTTGAGGCGCACGCACGTTCTCCTCCAGCACGTCTCGGCGGTACCCGATGGCAAGGTTCAAAATTACGGTTTCCGTAAAATACGATCCGTTTTTTACGGTCGTTTTTTACGGTGATTTTCCAAAAAAAAACGGCCGTTTTTTTGTTAGAGAACTCTGTTTACCAAGAAAAAAAAAAAGAGAAAAACAAGGTCAAAAGCATTTTTAATCATGCCAACAAGCGCATACATGCAAGAAGGGGTCCGTCCCCTTCATGCTGCTGCATTTCGGGTTCAATTTGGTCCCACTAAGTGGCCGTTTTGTTAGTTAAACAGGAAACACTTCCTGAAACCGTTTTAAACCGTTTTTTACGACCGTTTTTTACGATACCGTTTTTTCACGGTAAATTAAAAAAAAAAAAAAAAAAAAAAAAAAAAAAAAAAAAAAAAAAAAAAAAACGGTCGCTTTTTTGTAACCCACCCTGCCCGATGGCCTTCTGGTGGGCCCTATAAGGGCCCACCAGAGCGCACGCGCAATGCTCCCAGAACGCACCTCAAGCGCACGGGTGAGGCGCACATTCTCCTCCAGCACGTCACGGCGGTACCCCATAGCCTTCTGTGCCGACCCCATCAGGTTCTGCTGCTGCCCGTCAAACGCCTGCTCACATGGGAATGTGAACGTGATGTCATGGCGAGCAGATGCAGGGAAGGAGGGAGGGGAGAAGGGAGAATCAGGAAGGGGACTATGACACGGCCGGCTCACATTACAGACGGACCCGATAGGCTTCTGCTGCTTCCCGTCAAAGAAGCGCTCCAAAGTGTGAAAATGAATACCACCACCGCGACTAATAGCTTCCTTAGGGCGTTACAGAGTGATGCATATGACGAAGGTGAGGTGAGGTGAGGTGAGGTGGGATGTGGTGAGGGTCTTACCAGTCGCAGCTCTGACATCCTGCGCTCCAGCGACCGCTTCTCTGCCTGTAGCTGTGCCTCCTGCACGCATGGGGATAGGTAGGTACGATGGTGGGGGGACAATCACACCACCCAGGTATCGCAAGGGGGGTGGGGATAATGGTGGGGGGTTTGTGAGGTGCCTCGAATCGACTTGCAGTCCAGCGACCGAGACTCTTCGCCCCCTGCAACTGTGCCTCTTGCTCGCATAGGTGGAACGACGGCGCACACACACATACGACACAGGAATGTTGTGGCACGGGAGGGAGGGGAGGGAGGGCTGTGGAGCATACAATCACCACATGGCAGAAGGGGGGGGAGCATACAATCATCACATGGCAGAAGGGGGGGGAGCATACAATCATCACATGGCAGAAGGGGGGGGAGCATACAATCATCACATGGCAGAAGGGGGGGGAGCATACAATCATCACATGGCAGAAGGGGGGGGAGCATACAATCATCACATGGCAGAAGGGGGGGGAGCATACAATCATCACATGGCAGAAGGGGGGGGAGCATACAATCATCACATGGCAGAAGGGGGGGGAGCATACAATCACCACATGGCAGAAGGGGGGGGAGCATACAATCATCACATGGCAGAAGGGGGGGGAGCATACAATCATCACATGGCAGAAGGGGGGGGAGCATACAATCATCACATGGCAGAAGGGGGGGGAGCATACAATCATCACATGGCAGAAGGGGGGGGAGCATACAATCATCACATGGCAGAAGGGGGGGGAGCATACAATCATCACATGGCAGAAGGGGGGAGAGCATACAATCATCACATGGCAGAAGGGGGGGAGCATACAATCATCACATGGCAGAAGGGGGGGGAGCATACAATCATCACATGGCAGAAGGGGGGGGAGCATACAATCATCACATGGCAGAAGGGGGGGGAGCATAAAATCATCTCATGGCACGGGGGGAAGAGGTTGTTTTTACATCTCAACACTTGCCTCTCTACCTGCGGTTTGCCCTCCCACACTTGCACTTACACTTACACTCACACACAGACACCCCTGCCCGGCGCTGTCCACCCCACCCCACCCCACCCCACCCCACCCCTGGCGCTGACACTGGTACTGTATGTTGCATCGTGCAAGTCAAGAGACGCAACTCACCCGCGCCTGAGCAGCAGCCAGCAGCTTGTCCTTGCTTCGTACTTGCTCCTCCAGCGACGCCACCCGCTGCATCAGCTCGCCCACGTTCACACTCCCAGTCACACACACAGATCCCTCTGCCTGGCACCGCTCATCCCACTCCACCCCACCCCACCCGACGGGCCGTCTTTAATACTGCAAGGAGATCCAACTCACCCGTGCCTGGGCAGCAGCCAGAAGCTTGTCCTTGCTTCGTACTTGCTCCTCCAACGATGCCACCCGCTGCATCAGCTCTCCCACATTCACGGACCTCTCTCCGCCGCCCGCCGACCCACTAGGGCCGGACGTTGCCGCCCCGCCCGTTGACCGAGTCAGGTCGTTAGTGAAGGGCTGGTGAGGGCGGAAGAAGAAGAAGAAAAAAAAGAGTAGACCTTTTGTAGAGTAAACTCGATACGAGAGTGGAAAAGGGGAAAGGGAGGGGGGAGAAAGGGAACAATGAGTTTTCTCTGTCTCTCTCTTTTCTATATTCACTCCCTGCTGGGCTGTCGCTGCAGTTTTCTCCCTCCTCGCCGATCTCACCTGCAGAGAAGCAAGCTGGCGTGATGACGTGGAGTTGGAGGGGTGCACAGTCAGCGACTGCTGGTCAAACGGAGTCAACGCCAGGCTGTCACGCTCCCTGTCCAGCACGTGCCCAGTCAGCCCGCCCCCTGCCCCTCCGTTCATCAACCCATTTGCTACACCACCCTCACCTCCTGCCCCCGGCCCCCCTCCTCCTTCCCCTCCCCCTGCGCCTCCCCCGCCTCCCCCTCCCCCTGCGCCTCCGCCAGCTCCGCTCCCCCCTGCTGCCTGCGCCACAGCAGCAGCCAGCGAGCCGTTTACAGACAGCTTCTGAAGTAGTCGCTCCAGAAGAGCTGCTTCCAAGTCCTTCTCTCCTCCTCCTCCCCCTCCCCCTCCTCCTCCACCTTCTCCTCCCATTCCTCCCACTCCTCCCACTCCTCCCCCTCCTCCGTCCCCTACCATCCCGCCCATATGGCCAATACCACCTTCCCCAGAAACCACCTGATCTGATCCTAACAGCCCCCCCAGTCCACCACCATTACCACCAGCCATTCCTGGTGCTACAGCTGCTGCCGCAGCAGCCATAATCCCTTCGCCTCTCCCTCTCCCTACTGTCCCTTCAGCCCTACCTATACCCACTACAGCAGGGGCAATACCACCAGTACCCACGGCTGCTGCACTGCCTATCCCCGCTATCTGCGGACTCCCTACTAGAGCACCGCTAAAACCGCCTGGAGGGCCGCTAGAAGCGCCCGCGCCTGCTACGCCTGTGATGGTTCCTGCCCTAGATATACCTGGGCTAAGCCCCGCGCCAGTAGCAGCGGAAGGGAGAAGGCGCGCGGAGGAAGGGGAGAGCAGCCCGTCCACGTCAGGAGGCGCGGAGTTTGCTAGCGCCTGGGGGAGTGAGGGGAGTGGGAGAAAGAGAGGGGAGAGCAAGGAGAAGGGAATTGGGGCGTTCCACGTTGAGATGAGACGCGTCAGGAGGAAGAGGAGAGCAGCCCGTCCACGTCAGGAGGCGAGGAACCCGCTAGCGCCTGGGGGAGTGGGGGGAGAGCGGGGCGAGGAGAGTCGGGGGAAAGCGCATTAGAACATGGAAGGGGAAGAGGAGGAAGAGGAGAGCAGCCCGTCCACGTCAGGAGGAGAGAAACCCGCTAGCGCCTGAGGGAGTGGGGGGGAGGGGAGGAGAGGGGGGCGGCGGCGGGGGGAAAGAGGCGGGAGAGCAAGGGGAGAGCAAGGAGAGGACAGTCGAGGAGAAGGGTGGTGAGACGCGTCAAGCATGATCAGTAGTCCTGGAAGGACCGTTAAAAGCGCCCGCACCTGCTACTCCTGACCGACCTAGTGGCTTCCGATTTTTTTTAATAAGATAACCATTGTTGAGCCTATGAGGTGGTGCAGAAAAGGAGGTCCGGGGCAGGGTGAAAGTGACAAAAGAAACGGAGAGGTCCGGGGCAAGTTTCGAGTCGCCTGAAAAGGGGAGTGGAGGGAGACTAGGGGGTGGGGAAGAGAGATGGGCGAGGCTCGGAAAAGCGACGGGGAAGGTGGGGGGGGGAGTTTGGGGGGAGGTGGGTGGAAGAGGGGTTGGAGTAGGGTTGCGATTCGATGAGAGTGCTCACTCCGTTGCTCATCTGCCATTCGAGCACGCGCAGCTGGGAGCGCAGGAACTCGTTTTCGATGGCCTGCTTGCGGATCTCCACCTCCGCCTCATCCAACGCGCGCTGCCACGCCTCCGCCACCTGCTGCTCTGGCCCCTCTGCTCCCGCTCCCCCTGCGCCTCCTGCTCCCGCGCCCCCGGACCCCCCCGCTCCTGCTCCCCCTGCCTCTTCTGCTCCCGCTCCCCCTGCTCCCGCTGCCCTTTGTGCCCCGGTCACGGCCTCGTGCGCCCCTTTCACCCCCACCCCCCCTCCCTCCTGCTCCCCCGACTCCTGCCCCGCTGCGCCTTGCGCCCCTGATCCGTTCCCCCTTGCCTCTGCGCCGTAGAGTGCTTCCGCAATGGCTGCTGCCTCTCCCGCCACGACCGCACCTGCAGCGCTCTCAGCGCTGCTCCCTGCGGCTAGAGAATTAGATGGTTCTGCGCCTCCCGCTTCTGCTGCTGCTGTTGTTGTTGCTTCAGCTGCTGCTGCTCCTGCTCCTGCTTCTGCTTCTGCTGCTGCTGCTGCTGCTGCTGCTGCTGTTGCTGCTGCTGCTGCTGCTGCTGCTGGCGGAATGGAAGGGTTCAGGGAGGAATCGCAAAAGGAAGGGTCCAGCGCGGAAGGGTGTGGCGCGGAAGGCTGCAGCGCAGAAGGCTCTAATTCGTACGACTGTAGCGCGGAAACTTCTTGTGAAGCTTCAGACGCGGCGCCAGGGAGGATGCTGGCAGGCTGGTCAAGGGAAGAGGGATGCGGAGCAGAGACCGCTGCTACAGCCGGCATTACCGAGGCCTTCTGGTAAGTAGCAAATGGGAAGGTATGGAGTGGGCGGGGAGCGCGCAGAATGTATAAACAGGCCAAACGAAAGACAGGAAAGTTTTGCATTTTATTAATGCTTGTGGAACGTGGCAACAACTGCCGATCTTGTACATCGACCAATGATCAGACAGAAACGAGAGCTGGATAAGATAATTCCGCGACGTTTTCAAACGGTAATGTCGTGACTAATTTCCTGTTGTGGCTAGCAAAACCGGAGCCCATTAGTATATTTCCAGCACTGGCAGCCTTCGCACAGAGCCTTTCAGATTCCTACCTTGTACGCCCTTGAATGGCACGCTGCTGCTGCTTCTCAATCGTCCAACTGTGACATTCACCAACGACATAGATAGTAAAGATGGCACTTAAGAAGGATTCCAGAGTAGAAATTAAAAAAAATATTAGGCAACAAAGAAAGTGAGCTCACTGTCAGCCACGGCAATATCGTCCCTAACCATAATCTGGTGTGGCGATGCTGGCAATTAGAGGCTGAAGCGAGAAAAAAAGTTCACAGAATGACCAGTTCGCATGAAGTATTATGCATCTTAAACACCCCCGAAATGAAGGCCTTTTTTCAGACAGACGCACTCTTGCGGATAAAGAAACGCGATTGGATTCTGAGGTGCAGTGTGCTCCAGCGTTGCGGGAAAGCGGTTGGATAAACAAGCGGGATCGCGAACCCTAATCAATCTCGTCAGCAATGACCTGTACCCACCCGAATGGCCGGCATAGCGACTAGATGGAAGGCTAGGCGATTCCAGGCCACAATGCGAATAGTGTTCCTCTTGCAAAATCGGCCGGCCCTGCTCCAGAAAAGTACGCAATCAGTTTAGGGTCAGCGGAAGGCAATGCGAGGAAGCCATGGATGGAATGACGTTGATTGCTGGCTGTGCTCGAACTGTTCCTCAACATTTCTGCCGCTCGTTTCTGTGGTTCCTGTGGATTGGTTGGTCGGGGTGGTGGTGTCCTGCGAAATCGCGGGAACCTCTAGGTCGCGAAGGCGGTTAGAAACGTATCAGGCGACGAGTAACCTGGATACCAGCCAAGTGGCCACGTCGCTGAGATAAGGGAAGTTTTGCCCAGTGCGTTGTGGAAACGGTTGCGGGGGACAAGCGAAGGCGAACAGTCAGAAGCATTCAACTGTCTGACGGCCAGCGGTTGGCGCAGCTCATCTTTCGGCCAAGATACATCCAGTTTGACGAGAGAATTACCGGGGCACGGGCTTCGGCTTCGGTAATTTTTTATCTCGCGGGGAAATTTTTGTAAAACGCGAAATGCGATCCCGCCACCTTTCATCATGCGGTTTCCGCGCACGCGTCATTTTGCGTTATATAAACACTTTAATGGTTTTTTTTTTCGGGTTTCCATTTTGTCGGTGGGCAGTTTACAGTTTGACGTGGAACATCACTGCCACGCAGTGCTAACCGATTGGTCATTTTGTTCCTGACATCGTGGAATGCAGGTTCGGCCAGGTTCGAGCGCGAACAGGTTCGACAGTGTGCTTCGGTTCACTGTGTCAGAAAGTCGATTTTAAACTTGTAGCAATACGATTGGTGCAAGTTCAAAATCAAATGTTCAGTGTGTCGCGCGCCTCGTTTTTTAACACAATGCCACGTGCGTGTACTTGCGACCGCCGCGTCACCATCAGTTTGAATTAGGGAAACGAACAAACCAATAGTTGAGCGCCGAGTCATACAGCACGTTTAGCTGTAGGGTGAACTGTGAACAAGCTCTCTTTGAGGGCTCGATACCGTATACATCGCATGTTTCACAATAAGTTTAGTAGAAAATTCGTGTTAATAAGGAATAATTCGTAACAATGTAAACAACACAAAAGAGTAGATAATCAAAAACAAATTCATACATAAACAAACGATGTAACTGACGGCCCAGTCTACATAATGACGTGAGATGAATGTACATTATTTTTTTGCATGGCATTACTTGTTCTTGATTTAGGGGGGGCGAACGTACATATTGTGCTCGTGTATGTAAATGGCAATTCTTGCCTTACTCCAACAAAGTAATAATAGCTTATTGTGTAAGATATGAAGTTTATATATACTGTGTTGGGATATGCTTTATGTTTCAAGTTATTCTTAAGACAATTTTTGCAATCCATTCCTTTTTTTAGTACAATTGAAGTATAATAATTGCTCTGGAAATCTTTTTGGAAAAGATTTTCTGCATGATTTTACACTTATGAAAGTTCCTATTAAAACCTGTGTCAAATTTGCTACTCAAAAGCGTTTTGTACGGTTACATTATGCATGGTATGTATTTCTTACACACCATCATGAAGCCCTCATGCATAGTGAGAACTCATATAGTTACGCATATTCACTGTTCAGTAACATGAATAATTCATTGCATCGTTTGCCAATTGATAATGTTAGACAATAAACCTTATGTTTTCATAGACATATGTTGTTCTATGTTTAAAACCTGTGTGCATACCTCAATCGAAAATAATATATTTGGACTATGAAGAAACTGGATGTTATCAAATAAAACTACTATTTAGCTAAAGTAGGATATGTTTGTGAAAAGAACTAGGCAAGAATGGTGCATTGAATGGAAGAATTGGGTACAAGTAGCAAACCCTAGTTGGGGTTGTACCCCATATTGGCTACCCCACTACAGCCTACAAACATAATACAGTTTAACACACCCCCATAGGCAAAGTGGGGGAGAACAAAGGGTCACAAGACCAGTCCAGCAAAGCAAAGCCCAGGGTGGATCACAACGTCACCACACTCCGAGCACAAGCAAAGGCCACAAGGCCAGTTCACATGCAGTGCTAGATATAGTACAAGACAAGCAACACAGTGATCAAGACCTAGCAAGCAAGCAACGAGATATATATAAAGGACAGTACAAAGAAAGTCAAGCAGTAAGCAAATGAGGGAATGTGGACACAAGGCCTAAGGAAGTACAGTGCCGCTGATGATCACTAGGCGGGAGCGCCTTGGTGAAGATATCAGCAGTGTTGGCCTTCGAGTCCACGTACACAAGCCGAAGCTGACCTCGCTGCTGCAGCTCTCGAGCAAGAAAGTAGCGAAGAGCAATGTGCTTCGTCCTGTGCTCCAGTCTGTGCTCCTGACACAAGGCAAGGGCCGCCTTGTTGTCACCGTACAGAACTGGAGGAGAACTAGGCCGCTCTCCCAAGTCAGTCAGCAGGTAGGTGAGCCAGCGTAACTCCTGGGCAGCCATGGCTGTGGCGTAGATCTCAGCCTCACAACTAGAGCCGAGAACAAAAGAAGAGCGGGTGGACCGCCACGAGACAGAACCAGAGCCAAGGCTGAAGGTGTAACCCTGTGACGACCGCTGCGTAGCCAGGTCGTCCACCCAAGAAGCGTCCGAGTGACCAGTGAGGACAACTCTGTCGCGTCCTCCAAGCACCAGCCCCATGCCTGATGTACTGCACAAGTAACGCAGCACCCTCTTAGCAGCCTCCAAGTGCTCTCGCCTGTGTCTCCCAGGCGCAACGTAACGAGCAAGGATGCTAAGTGGGTACGCGAGGTCAGGTCGCGTGCAAGTCATCAGGTACATGAGGCAGCCTACAAGCTCTGGGTACGGGCCACTCGGCTCTACGGACTCGTCCGAAGGTGGAGCTGAGAGCGAGTGGCTGGTAGCCAGAGGTGTGGCCTGTGGTGAGGAGAACTGGAAGCCGAAGCGCTGAAGGACCTGCTGCACCATGTGTGACTGAGTCAGGGTGATGGTGCGGCGAGCTCTGTCCCGGGTGATCTGCAAGCCAAGGTAGCTACGCAGTTCACCCAGGTCAGTGCAGGTGTGTCTCTTCTGCAGCTCCGACTTCACACGAGCGAGTGCCTCAGTGTCAGCAGTAGCAAAGACCAAGTCGTCAACGTACACGAGAATGTAGAACGGCGGTAGCGACGTGTCTGTGCGCAGAAACAGCGACGGGTCAGCAGTAGACGGCGCGAACCCAAGAGCTGCAAGTGTAGTCCTCAGTGTGTCGTGCCACTCACGTGGCGCCTGGCGGAGACCGTAGACTGGCCGGCGGAGGCTCCACTGGGTACCAGGAGGAAACGACCCAGTAAAGCCAGGTGGGCGGCGCAGCCAGATCTCCTCGTGCAGGCTGCCCTGCAGGAACGCTGTGCTGAAGTCAAGAGAGTGAAGCTCGTAGTCACGCTGAGCAGCAACGTGTAGCAGAACCCGAAGAGTGGTCATCTTCGGGGTGGGGGAGAAGGTCTGGAAGAAGTCAACCCCTGACGCTGACTGAAGCCTCTAGCAACGTAACGAGCCTTGAAGACAGGTGGAGAACCTGGCGGCCGCTTCACCCTGAAAATCCACATGCCATCGACGATGTTCGCCCCAGGAGGGGGAACCTCGTCGACGTAGGTGCCTGTGGACTTCCAGGATGCCATCTCTGCGTCCATGGCTGTCTGCCACTGAGAGGAGTAGGGACCCGAAATCGCCTCTGCGTAAGAGCGCGGAGTGGGGATGTCTAGTGCATCCGGGTCTCCCTCAGGGGCAAGCAACCAGGCCACGAGATGAGGTACAGCAGCCGCAAGAGAGTCAAAGTCCTCCTGCATGTCCTCAAGGACGTCCGTGCCAAGAGCACACTTACCCCCGACGGACGGAGGACAGACAGACTCAGACCCGGCAACAAGACTGGCGGCGTAGTCTAGACGACAGGCAGCAGCAAAGTCGACAAGCTCAGCGACCAGGGCAGACGCAGCAGCAGACTCAAACGACGGGTCAGTGACAACAGTGGCGAGAAGACGCGTAACAGTAGGGTGGGCAGCACGAACACTGTCAGACTCAGGGTCGGGAACGTCAGGAAGAGAAGACGCAGGAGGAGACGGTAGGGGGACACGCTGTGGACCAGTGGAAGGACGAAGGGCCATAATATGCGTGCCAGGAACAGGAGGAGGACGCGGACGCGCGACACGACGACCAGTGGGACCAGTGCGCGCAGTGCGAGCAGCGCGAGCAGCGCGAAC